TGATTTTCACAAATAGCTAGCAACTTAGAACCAAACTTTGATAAACTGGAGCTAAGATTTTCACTCTCGGACATCCACAGACAAGCAAGGAGTTTACTAATTTGATAGACAGATATCAAGCGAACTTAGCTCAAGTGGTAGCAACAGACACAGTGTTGTGCATGTGTACAATATCTATTGAAAACAAGCTAAGTCACACTATAAATATTCATATGTAAAAGAATGGATTAGTATGAACTACAACACCACCATAATCTTACACAAAAACAATACAACTTACTCCTCTCTCTGAAGCTGAGATAATGAGGTTCGGCCACAGCTCACTCTCCATCAAAAATATTGCAGTTGGATCCCAGTACCCAAGAAAATCCTCCACCGCCCTCGGTGTATCCACTGGTGCAAACTGAACAGACTCAAACTAACATTAGAATTGGGGGCCTGACAACACTTTTCAATGATTTGAGGGGCTAATTTAATATGAGATTTAAAGGACTAATATCGGAAATAACACTAAAAGAAATTAAAAAATAGTACATCTTAATCACCAAACCTGATAAATGACACCACTTGGTAGCCGATCCTCAATTGCCGCACTGCAAAACAAAACAAGAATCCAACTTTCTCTTCAAATTTGTATCTTTTAACAAGCAGCAAATCAAGAAAGGGAATACTCACAAAGCTGAAGCCACAGTTGTTGTCATTAGTACATTAAGATGGGGCTTATGTTCGATGCAGTGCTCGATCACAGGGATCACAGCCAATCCTTCACCTGAGGTAAAAAAGAGTAAATCTAACCTTTTTTTTTTGGGTGTGCTAATTGCACTTTAATACCCTAAAGTTTCATCAACTTTTAACTTCGATACTCTAAAAGTTTAAACTTGCCCAACAATTCAAAATCACACAATTTTTAACTTTTGAGAGGACAAATTCAGGGTTTTGGCGAGGGGAAAACCTAAAGAGACGGCGTGGAACCAGAGGAGAGGGCCGAGAGGGCGGCAGGATGAAGGGCGGCCGAGGCGCCTCCGGCCAAGCGGGTTCGGCGCTTGGTCAGGCCGCGCGCAGGATCCGATAGCGGATGTGGGCGTAGATTAGAGGCGAGGCCAAGCGGGTCGCTGTTTTGTAGAACCCGTATACGATCTTTCGCCATTCCACCATTTCTTTCATTGGAAAGTGGTACTAATCGTCTCGATTGGTTTTTTCACTCCCTTCGTTTGTTCCGGCTTAATTGCATTTGACTACCCTACAATTTTCCTACTTTACACTTATGTACCCTCCTTTGTTTTTTTTGCAGCATTTATATATCTAGTTTTTAAAACTTGCATGTATATGGTCACTTATTTTCGCAGCACTTATATACCCTGAACTTCTCAAAAAGTACATCGCACTTAAATACTAGAGATTTATATGAATTAGGACAAGAGATTTCATTCAATTTAGGGGCTGTTTGGTTCGTTTCCTAGATATAGGGAAATACAATTCCATGTAAAGAAATTGAAGTTTTGAGTTTTCCAAACTTTTCCAAGAAATAGATTGTTTCGCTTTGGTTCGCACAAAAAAATGGTGGGAAACCAATGTATTTACTTTTCTTGTGTTTGGTTCACATGGAAAAAAAAGGAAAACTTTTGTTGATTTGACATTTCTCACTTTTCTTGTGTTTGGTTGGTTTTAAAGTTTGTAGGAAAAAATGTTTATGGTCACCATGGTAAGATTACCCCCACTACATACAAATTTATTTTTGCTCGTTATATTAGGTAATCTTAATCATATAAAAATTCGAATGTAATATGAACAAATAATAATATCCCCAATGAACTATTACCAACCATCAAGAGTGGGACCGTACGTCATAGTTTTCGCAGAAGCCAACATGACCTTGATTACCGTTTGAATGCAAGCCAATTTTATACAACATTGCTTTGAACATCTAAATCTAAACACACATCAAATTACGTGCGAGTTTAGACAAGTTTAGAGCTATACTACGTAAGCATTCAACTTGACCAGAAACTAACAAGGAAAACAAGCACACATCAATAAGCTTCGCTAGGAACAATAAAAACAGTCGATGTACATTCGAATACGTACGGAACTTTTCTGTGTGCATATCAGTTTGATTTATGAAAAAAGAGTTGAAGGATCAAGACAAATTTGAAGTTGTCCCAAATAACAGAGTCCACAAGTGGATCTTGCTGTAGCAATTCCCTTAGGTTGTTTTCCACCTCTCCCACCTGTTTTTCTAGGTACTGCTTCGAAGTATACATACCCAGAAAAAAAAGAAAACAATAGTTACTGTCCAGAATGATCATAATGCAGCAACCTACAATTTGCATATTATAAAAATCTGCAATCATGTTGTTTGTGTTGTCCTGACATAAAATTCAAACCAACAGGTATAACAGTGCAACTTCCAGAATCAGAATGCAACTAATAGATTCCACTCATTTGAAATTTTGATTTTATTGCCTGTTGGAGTACAATGTGATTTTTACCAAAAGTCGAGATAGTAGAAAAATGATTTTACAAAGTAAAGCAGATAGTAATGCGACTGGACAAATGAATACAACACCATCGGAACAGCAGAGTAAAATGATCAGAGAAAAGCAAAAAAAAATGAAAACATTAATCTGACAAACAACTCAAGTTTAAAGAAGTACAAGCTTAGATAACCTACCTATTCATGGACTCTACCTTGTGCTCTTCTCGCACAATCAATTTAGCCTACCTGTCTTGCCCTCCCCACACATTTATCTTCCTTTCATTCACAATTATGGATTCTGCCACTCTGCCTATGAAAATATCGGCTACTTGCATTGCTTTAGGGTTAACCTTCTCATTGGTGAATTTCAGTCAAATTCTTGCAGCCAAGTTTGCACCAGCACAATGACCAAGTGATTTGAATCACACTTGAACATCTACAACAAGCATGTCTTTGATCCAAAACATTTGCTGATAGATATGAATAGGATCCATATTACTCATTCCAGGGACCAAATTTTCCTTCTAGTCATATTACGATCCGGATTAAAATACACAGTTTCTCTTGTTCATTGTCTGCAAATTTCAGGTTTAGAAATAACTCTACTACATGGAATCACACTGGATAGCTATACAGTAAAATGGTGATTTACAGTACCAAATCAAAGTTTGCAATGCCATAAGTTGTCACTTAGCTCACAAGCCAAAACATAAATTAGGAAGTGTAAGATGAAAGAAATTTTATTTAGATTTTACTGCTGAAAACTACCAAATTTAAAGTTTACACGATTCTAAGCTCCACACAGGTCTAAAACAAACGAACATATAAATTAATCTAGGTATACTAGAACTGTAAATAAAGGAACTTAAACACACAGAATATTTCCTAAAGAAGTGATTACAATCCTGGACATTGGTGGAAAACTTTCTGAAACATGGTCTTGATAGGCTACATGTGATTAATCACAGCTTGCAAAGATGTTTTTAACAAAATAACTATTTATCAGAGATGGATATTTAAATAGAATGAAGACTATAACAGTTTTGTTCCAATACTAATGCTTGTCTTGTATGTAGAGATGGCAACTGCAACTAAGAAAATCGGTAGAAGCCTCATCAATTCAAACTAATATAAATTAATATGTTTCCACTCCATGGGATGTTCTAAGAGTATGGCTCTGTCACGTCCAAACCCGTGAGCCTGTTGGAGCGATGAAAGCCATGCGACCCACTGAGTGCAACACATGTTTTAAACCCAATTACACTTTTGTAAGTCTGGGAGTATTTGGGGCATCACAGGTTCAGAACCTGATCCATTCTGCCTCATATTACTTTAGACACGCAAGTTTTACATTGTTATCTCAAGATTTGGTAGTATGGCCATTAAAATATCAATGCAATGCAGTAATGCTCCACTCTGATTTCCAAATGATGATACAGATCACACTTGGAAGGTTTCATTGCAGATAACATGATAAATGTATCTAAAGAATTTTGTATAACTAAAACCAACCTAATGGTGTCCTTGTCCTTCAAAACACATGTTGACTCAAAAGGTGGTAAAACAAAACCATCCATCTGCAACGCAACACAAAAATGAATAAGCCAGAGATTATGAGGAAAAATGATAATGAATAACCTAGAGAATATGTTATGCATGCCATGAATACATGAGTACATGTAAGCGATCATAATGCTACAAACTGAAGAACATGCTAACACACAACTCACTGAAACGTGCTTGCAGTACAAACTATGTGCTTAGACCCGCAAGCACGTGGACATATGCATAACACTAACGTCAGTAGTGTAGTGAAGATTGTGAGATGTGATATAAAAGTCAATGTTCACTCATATAATTAAGACCGGTAAGGTATTGAATGTTAGTACGTATAATATAATGGCCTAACAAAGGCATCATAGCAATGTTCCAAATCAATTACTACGGTAGTAAGATAACACAAGATTTCATAAAAAGAAGATGCATCTCTACTTTTGTTTTTGATTGGCGTTGAAGCAACGTTAATAATCTGTATTTGATCATATAATTTCTTTTCTCTTTCAATCTTTCATCTTAAACTACAGGGAAACAATGAAGCCATTTTCTCTTACAGCTTCCACATGTCACAATTTCTTCATAGTTTGTTGTACTAAACTCTAAATAAAAAGAATTCCAGCATTACAAAGTGAATAATATTAAAAGCTGATTTTAAAAAAATTATGAAAAAATAAAAGAACTTCCCTTTTCGCAGCAAAAGGCAAAAGATGAGGACATGTTTAACAAAAAAGTTTTCCTTTTTCAAATCAAGACATTGCATTTATCTCAAAAAGAGAATTTTTTCCTCAATAACACGACGCATGACACTTGAATCCTCAATTTCTCACAGTACAACCCAAATCATCAAGTCCCAAACTCCAAAATGTTGCTAATCTAGGGATCTCACAGAGAGAAGGAGGCCATTAGGGCAAGATCGCTGGAGATTGAAGCTCCTGTACACGAGCAAAGCGAGGTCGGAGATAGTGGCAATCTCCGGCCTCAGGAGAATCCAGCAGTGCTTCAGGCCCTCTGATCTCTGAGACTTCGTCAGCATCTTGCGATCGTCTAAGACCACTCGAACCCGTAAAGGGTCTTCCATGGCGATGGAGGAGGAGAGAGGAGATCAGAGATTTTGGGGCAGAGTTTTTGGGAGATGAGCGCTCCTTAAACCCTTTTGTGGCCTCGGAGAAATAAAAGGGGAGGGACAGCGTCGCCAAAGATCAGAGATTATTGTCGTCAATCATCAGATCCGAATACAGGGACAAAGCAGGAGTTTCTGGCGGGAGGAGAGCGCGGAGGTAAGTGTAGCTCGTCGAAGAAATCAACGAGGAAACCAAACAACCGACGTGGCTGCAGTTTCCGTCGATTTCACCAGCTTGAGCAAGGAATTGGGGGAGAGGAGGAAGTCTGATGTGGCAGGGATTTTTCTTCGGTTTCGCTTGTGAAACCATAGCGAACCAAAGTGGAGAAAAAAAACCGACGGAAACGTTTTATCCGATGTGGAGGGCGAAAAAATGACGTGGCGGCGTTTTCAAAGTTTTCCACCGCTATTATTAGCGAACCAAACAGCCCCTTATAAGATATTGCTTGCTTTGAATAGCATCCAACTATACTGAAAGGTTTACATCTGTATAAGATTATTTTTCTTATCACTTGAATTTCAATGAAACAAATGCATTCCAGCAATCAGCATTACAAAAGCCAAGCTACACACTCGCCAAACATTTTGGCCAAAACAATGATCAGACATTTGCAAACAACTTATAATTATTAGCGTCAAGAACAATCTGTCGCACTGCAGAAATAGACCCAGCAATCGAAAACAATGAGAAGACAACCGCTATCGCAGTGTTCACCCAGAATATGGCACTCTGCTTTGACGGCCTAAACGTAATGTTGTAGAAAACAGATGGCACGACGAAATCGAGAGGCAAGAATCCAAACGCACCGATAACAGCGTTTATGTCTCCGAAGAATGGAAGCATGGAGGCGATGAGCGTTGCAGTAGCGACGGAGAGGGATCTAGATATGAACCTTGGTGTAACGTTTCTTGGAGAGTATTGTTTCTTGTTGGGATCAGCGAATAATCCTTCGAGCAATTCATTTGTCGGTTGCAAGTACACCTGCAAGTATTATAGTATTCACATAAGATTCTTCTAACTTGTAGTTATAGTAAGGGTAATTGCAGCTGCATCCAATGTACAATATAGAGAGGGTTAACAGATATAAGGCCAGAATTTTTTTTACTCGTATTTAGACATTTCATGTCAAAGGGCGAAGTATCTCTCCATTTATTTACTGTCAGAAAAATCTCCTGATATTTGAGCATGTTGTAGAGAGACCCTCTGAAGATGTTGAACATAAACCCCTTATGTACAGTACACGCGGTTACAATTTACAACATCTTTTTCTGTCCAAAGTCCATTAGACCAACTATGAGACAAGTCACCGTGTACGCTTTCTGTTTTTTTCCCTTAGGATTTTATTTCCTATCAATAACTAGCAATATTTCATTTGTCACATGGTTGCAGCTCCAATGATTTTGGATCCATAACTAAACTTCTTACGAATACAAGTAATAGAGCGATAACTTCATTTGGACATCAGGAAATCTAACCACAAATAATTTTTTTTTAAGAATAATAAATGAATAATTCGTTATATGTCGAGAGTAATAATGAGCCCTGTTTTTTATCATTAGCGATATGCATGGGATGTTGAATGCTTACAACGCTAACGGCGGATAGTTGGAGAAGAGTGAAGATATTTGTCATCATAAGGAACCATTTTGGTACTAGAGTAGTGCCATCCACAATGAAGTTAGAGAGAATAGTGCCTTGTGCTTGGTTACCAAAAGCCCAGTATCCTGATATTGATACACTGAAGAATGTCATCACTACCACAGTGTAGCAAAGGCACAGGCCCTTGAACATCTTTCCTGTGACAGGAGCAGCAGCTGTTGCCTGTACATTAATAAAAAAAAGAACTAAAACTATTTAATTCATCATATTATAAGTACTTCATAACTCTTTAACATGTAAAAACAGCATAAATTTATATATGGTCTAATGCGTACAGATACTATGAATTTCTTCAACATGAGTTCTCGGTGACAAGTTTATTTGGGTTTTCTTTTTTAGCTATGGACCTCTCAAATCTGTGATATTTTAACTCACAATTTATCTCAACAGAGCATGTTGAGAGAGGGAAAAACCTGTATTTCTGGAATAATTCCATTTCCATAGGTAGTAGCAATGATAGATATAGCGTTGAATGCTCCAAATACACGGTGTTGTTGATCACCCAGAAGCGAATAATCCTTTTTCGGAGCGCGATTAGAATGTCCTGTTAATATTCACAACAATTCAAACAAGGGAAAAATAAAAATTAGAAGAATGATTACTAGACAAATACCTACCAACCTGCATAAATTGCACCCGCAGTAGAACAAGCGCTATAAGCGAGGCACAGGATAAGCGAAATGAGGTTGATGTGCCTCAATGAGTGGAACGAGGGTATTTGAGCTAGAACCAGCATGAAAACTCCGAAGATGACGACGAATTCGTAGAGCTTTGCAGTCCCGTGCGGGTTTGAGATCAAATACATGGACTATACAAGAACCCAAGATTAAAATTCAGTACGATGAATGACATTTCTAGTTACAAATATATATATGGGAGTAGAACTAGTAAGTGAACCTTCATTGTTTGCCCTCCGAGTAGAGTCGAGCCCACGACAGCACCAAAGCACACTAAGAACTGAACTGGGCCAATATAATAGCGTCCCCATCCAGGACCTGCGCACAAATTAAACTCGTGCATTATTATCTCATGCTCAATTGTAGTTCTGTCATGCTCCGGGCCCGCGGGCCCGGTTGGCGCGTGCAAGCCATGAGACCCACAGAAAGCAGCTCGACGTGGCTAACATCTACTTGTCAAAATGCTAGCACTTAGTTGTTCTTAGGCCTTGGGCTTTTCTCTATTTAAACCCCAAAATTTTCTTCACACCAGTCCATGTGGGACTACAGTGTGGGGGTATCACAAGTTCTGTGCAGTTAATTATATGTACAATTAGCGATAAAATTGGATGATGCGTTCTATTCGTCTTGACTTACGTGAGAAGTAATTATATGCTTTTTCTTATTTGTACATCAAGCGGTGATAAAGTAAACGAAAATTCAGTGATATATAACTAAGTAATATCTCATAATCCAAGAAGATATCTGTTAGAATGGGGTGTAGATCAAACCTCAATTCCGACGAGGAGCTCCGGCGAAGCTCCGACGAGCTTGAGAACCACGCAGGCGAGCGTGGGCGTCGACTCAGGCGAAGTCGACGGCTAAAGCTCCAGGTGAAGCTCGAGCAGGCGAGCTCGAATTTTGGCGATTCCCGACCTCGGCGTGTGGGCAACGCGACCCTCGCGTTTTTGGATCCGACCCTCGCGTTTGGGACATCGACCCTCGCGTTTGGGACAACGACCCTCGCGTCCAAGCTCCAACGATCGCGTCCAGGCGCTCCGACCCTCGCGTCGAGCTTGGACGCTCGCGTGGCTGGCGACAGGCTGTCGCCAGC